TTCGTTCGTTCGTTCGTTCGTTCCTTAGTTCGCTTGCACGCTCGTCCGACCGTTCCCTCATACGCATATTCGCCCGGTTAAATTTGCTGTATCTTTCTTTACAGGGTCCGCCTCATAAACTGGCTGCCATATTCGTGGATATCAGTGGTGTGGATATTATTTTAGAAACGTTTTTATTTGTCAGAGAACTTCTTTCTCGTGGAACTAAGGTACATCTACTACTTAACCAGACGGCTTTAATGGGGCTAAATGTAATTTAGGCAAAGTTTAAGTCGAGCCAATGCTGGCCAGCGGTCTCTTAGGGTGATCATGCTCGGTGGGGTCTCATACGGAGTTTTGCAGGGCTTACGTGTTTTGCTTGCCAGCTGTGTGAGATCGTGCAGTTTGGCTTTGAGTGCCATTCGTGCCTGTTGAGTGCTTTTGCTTCCGCACCTCCCTCCATTTCTCTGGTGACGGTAAATATATGGGGTGGTAAGTATCTCCACTGACTCTGTCAGTGTGATGGGGCCCGGTGGTTGCCGCTCTGCTTGAGGCTCATATTTCGGCTCCACCATCCCTAAGTCACCTTTCCCAAGCTCATCAATTGGCGATAAGTTTAACTTTAAACCCCTCCCAGCAAACAAATGGAGAGAAGTTAACTTACTCTGTTCTCTTTTAGCTAAATATCCTCATTTCTAAGAAAGGCGTTAAAAACTAAACTTAAAGCACTCCTTGTGGTGTAATTGGTTTCTTTGTAGCTCGTTTTCAGGATATAACGAATCCCCCTCTACGCTTCTGTTAGTGACAATGTTTTGTATAACATGACACACGTCTCGAATGTTTTCGTTCCTTGCGTGACATGCGTTGGTGGTTATGGCGGCTAATTCGTGTCCAGCCCTGAATGGCGTCATGTGCATTGAACTTGTTATCTTGACTGAAAAAGTAGCGGATTTATGTAATATGACTGGACCTTTGGCCCAACATATATCGTCTTATTGCTCAGTGAACTTTTAAATACTTTGTAAGGAACATTTGTGCGGAAAATACTTTGGTTGTAATTTATCCCTTAAATGTGTTGAGTTTTTCGTGCCACTGTTCTACGTAACAATCTCCGTTGTTCTACCCACTTCTCCCATGTTCCTTTATTTTCGTCATACACTGCCCTCACCCACCCGACACACTTACATAAGAGCTGGCTACTAGCAAGAAAACTTACACTTCGCTTTGTTTTGAATTAAGGCTGCATGAAAGGAAGAGCAGTTAGTTTTTATGTAATTAGGGATTGGTTCACCTTTTTTGGACTGCAGGTATGTTGATTTTATTCTCCTGTTTAACATCAAATTAAAAACCTTATGGCTGCTTTATATGATTTTTAGGATTCTGGGAGAAACAACAGGAATTTTCACCGAATACAATCATTTTCTTTCTTTGGTTCCGCCTAACATTATCAAAGAGAATTCCAAGCGACTCACTGATCTTCAGCCCTGTCAAATCAAAGTTATTGTTATCGTATTCTACTTGTGGGCTATACCATAGCACCTCAGTTTTCCCAGTGTGTGGTAACCCTTTTCGTCAACACCTTTGAATACTCCTGTATCTCCAAACCTGAGCTCTTTTACCGGAAGTGTTGACTTATCAGTGAGAAGACCGCTGTCTTCGCGCCATATTTCGTCATTCCTGTCACAGTTGCACGCTTCACCGTGGTTTGCGGACGAGTTGGTCATTCCGCATGCGCATTTTCTACTTCCAGGCGACGCCCCGCCCCAGTACAACATCTTACTAGAATCACGTGACACCCACCAGCCGTAGGAACTATACATTAACATAGATCCATAACACTCATATTTAATGAACTGTTCACAGTGTAAAGAGACATCAGTAAGACTGGCCAGCTGAGATAGACTTGCTCCCGAGTAACGAATGCTGTGCGAGTATTCACCTTCATCATCATATCCATCCACCAATGTTCTGCTTTCACTGTCGTGACTAACCACTGTCACACCAACACCATTCTTATCACTCATGTCACAATAGACTGTGAACGGCGTGAGGCCACCCGCGCCGTCTGGATCAATGACGTAATTTCCACTAGAACTGCTGTAGTATTTTAGTATCTCAGAGCAGGAAGAAGGGGACTTGGATTGAACCTGAGCACTTGCTTGTATAGAAGATAAAGCATTGGTCGCTTTACAGGTGTAAGATCCCTCGTGTGATTTTTTGATTCTGGAAATGACAAGTGTGTTGTCTTGAAGAATACTGGAGTCTACAGGAAGTGACGGCTTTCCATCCTTCATCCACGTTACTGTTGGTTTCAGGCTACTCTCTGCCACACAAGGTAGTTGCACAGGATACCCAATCAGAGCTGTCAGATGTGCTGGAGGACGAACTTTAAATCGCAAACGAGAGAATATCACCAGTTGAATATTGTCCTCTGTTGTTCCCAGAATATTCTGTGCTTTACAGATATATGTTCCACCGTCCTTTCTTAACAAGTTGTTGATTTTCAAGGCACCGTTGTTTACGGTTGTTCTATCAGGTAAACTACCGATCGATTTAGACCACGTAATAGTTGTTGGCGGCTGACCAATTGTACTACAAGCGATGTTAATAGTTTGTCCTTCCTCAGCCATCAGCTGATTGGAGGAGATTGAAACCCGAGGAGCAACTGTTGAGACAAAATTTTAGATAAAATAGTTAAGTATACGTATGAATTGATGCTGGGCCCGCATTCAAGTAAAGGCATTGGATGCCGTCCTGGACAATAATAGACACGGCTAATACGAAAAATATGAAACAGTTTGTTTCCGGCCAAGCATTTACTTTGTGGCAAAATATGGGTCACTCGCTTTTCGATCGCTGTCGCCAGGAAGGATAATACTTGTGTTATCTTGAACAAAATTTGGTGTTCCTCATCAAATTAAACCCAGAATTCTCGAGTTTAGCATTAGAAAAGGCCAAAGCAACTTAAGCATTGTCTTTATTTTTTGGCAACTGCGAAGAAAAGGACGAGTATCGCGGTGTCATTTCGGTAGGACAGCTCGGTATTGACTGCTGCTTAGACTACAGGCGCAGTCACTGTTTTTGAGAATCTAATCGCTGACATTTCGAAGTTGGGAGCACGGATTTAAACAGCAAGTGACTTTACGAATTGATACTGTACGTTCGAGTGAAAAATAATTGATGCAATACTAGTCAACAGTGACCACGCATCCCCACTAGTATAGCCCGGGTCGAAAACTGGACATTAGCTTTTGGTAACGAAAATCAGGCAAATGTTCTAACGTGCTGGTTTAATCCAAAAAACGAACTTTTCTGAAGGCCAACCGAACTCTCGTCAAACATTTCGTCATAAACCAAGAGTCAGACTGGATTTTGCGCACCGTAGCTTTTATTGTTTAGGTGCCTCGATTTTTAATTTATTGCCTTTAAGTTTAAGAAACATTAATTCTAGAGTTTTATTTAGGAAAGCCTTGGACGATTATTACTTGTAATTTCTATTGTATTTTTAACGGTTTTTAATATGTATCTTATTTTATATACCTTAATAACTCTTGTTTATTAGTTTTTAATTTTATAGCAGGACCCCGTTGATAACAGTACTTTGTACTGAAGGGTTATCTTGAGGAAATATTCGATTATATTACGGAATGAAAATGGAATCAAATGTCTCACAACAGGATTGATGCAGTGTGATATTCTCCTTATCGACAAGAAATTCCAATACTAACATCCTCAGATAATTTGCCAGCACCTTATAACCCTAACCCTAACCCTGAAGATATGCTGTTGAAAGGCAAGATTTACAAAACTCACATTGCACTGTTAACTTTGCTGAAGCGCTCACACTTCCCAGCAGGTTTTCCGCTCTGCAGCTGTAAACTCCATCGTCTTCTGATTTCACGTTCTTTATAATCAGAGCGCCACTTGACTCTACCACGTGACGCCCAACCGGAAGTGGCGAATTTATCTTGGACCACGTGATCCGTGGAGGTGGATGACCATCTGCTGTACATTTCAGTAATGCTGTTTGTCCTTCATTGACTGTCATTCCAGCGAGAGGCTCCTGAAGAAAAGGAGCTGAGACAGTCTTGCCCCTCTCGCCCTTGGCTCCCTGGGGACCTCTAGGGCCAGGGGGTCCTATATCCCCTGGTACTCCCAGATCTCCCTTTAACCCGATTGGTCCTTGAGGTCCCACGGGGCCGTGCTTACCCGGGGGCCCATGGGGTCCAGGTCTCCCTGGTCTTCCAGGCAGGCCAGGTCTTCCGCGGAGGCCTGGGATCCCTTTTGGTCCTGCTCGGCATGACACGTGATCTTTAGCACACATTTGGTCCTGCAGCTGGCTGAACTCTTCTCTAATGAGTCGCTGTACATCAGAGGTTGCTATTTGTGGCGTGGAAGGTGAATTCGCAGATGAAACACTCCGTTTGTGCCTTGAAACGCTTTTCTCCTGATCTGAAAGAAGTTAACACAGTGTTAAGACTATCAGGTGACATAAATCTATTGTCGTGGAATTAAATTACTCTCTGGAAGGCCCATGATCCTGAAAACTTTTCTGTGTGACACAACACAGCTCGCTAGTCGTGAATAAATTTCATTTCACAACTGGTTCAATCGCGGTCGTTCGCTTTGGCGGCTGAATAAAATAATATTCATTCCTGTTTTTGACTTCTAAAAGAAATATTTTTTTGAGGAAGGCTTGGCTGTTTAGGAGATCTTCTCTGATGATGCGAATAAGGGAATCATTATCTGAATGACATTGACTTAATGTTAAAAGATTTCGCGAAACCAACTTTAAAAGAGATGCTTAACAACTGAAAAGTAGATTCAATATTCGAAGGTCTGGATTTGAAAGGTTTAACCTCCATCTGATCACAGATTGTTGTCGGGTGTGATAGCAGTCGATGATGTTCTTGTATCCTGAATTCCACATGAACAAGCGCGACACAACACACGATAGACAGCAGTAATCCCGACATGCCACACAAACTACCGAGTGATATTCTCCTCTTTGAGTCAGAAATGCGTTTCACTTGGTTCATTGTAAACTTGTTGAAACGGATTCCACACGACAATCTCGCTCCTGTTCTCTTAGATGTTTACAAGACAAATAAATTGTGCTTTACCGCTGTTGTGCTCTGTAGCGTGCGCGAATTTGCTAAACTAGTGAGATTATTGTACTCGCTCGCTGAAGAGGACTTGTCTGAAACAGTGATTAAATATCAGAAGGGAAAAACAGTATCATGGGACATGAGACAGTTGGGTTAACTAAAATAAAAAGGTTAAATGCCTTAGTCAAGAGCACCACGCATGGGGAACCATAAGGAATTTTGTTTTGAGCAGGAAGTGTTTTTTTGTTGTTGTTGTTGTTGTAGTTTTTTTTTTTTTTGGAGAGAAAATGATTTTCTTGTTGGTGTTTCGTCACAGAAACTAAACCTTGTGTTCCTTTTAAATTTTTCAACCGAGTCCGGACAAGAGTTTTGGACCTTGCAGTTGATTTGCTATTATACATGAGAAAAAAGAAAGTTTCCAGCTGCGACTGCCAATAGTATTGAATTTTTCAAGCGAGATTAAGCAGTTGGAACTAATCTCATAATCTCATAGAGAGCTATTAACTTTCTTTGTGGTGATATTTGCAAGTTTTCCTTCTCAAAAATCTTGGATAGGTCACACTGTCATATTCACCTGGTCACGCCCACTGAGTGTGTACCTCATTCCAAAGTTCGATTGTTACGATTGTTACAACGTTGGGCCCGGTTCAAACGTCGAAATTTTCACAAGCCGAACCTAATAGCCACAATAAAGTACATGTTTGAATCAGTTAAGTTCGACAGATGTTATTTGGGTCGAGCCGAATTAAGTTCGACATAGCCAGTCGGTCAGTTCGACTACGGAGCGACTCCGATTCAAACGCCGAACTTTTCATGTACCGAACCTGATGCATACATTACAAATACATTAAATAAATTAATTTTTACCCAGAGTTCTGCACGTTCCCTATTTTTGTCATGCGCACACAGCTTGTTTTGATCTTTTTGGAACAAAATGGCAGGAAGAACATGAGGATATGTGTTCCTCTTGCTTCAAGAGCACGAAATATACTTGCTTGATGTACAGAAACCACTTATGTATGCGGTGTTCCGTATTTGAAAACGATGAGAGTATAGTGGGTTGGAAAGCAGGCAGTTCGGTGGCGTACTGCGAGTCATGTTTTTGAGAGAAAATAACAAAATAAATGAATCGTGAAGAAACCGACGACAGGAAGGAAATGGACGAGGAACTGTGATGTTCCTTTGGGAATAAGCAATAATAGAAGGAAAACCAAATTCAAAAATCGTCTTCAGTTTAATGCTAACTGCATCTGGAGTCACCTTCTTCGACTTCTTCTACCCTCCCTTTATCGCACTTGCAAGAAAAGAAAGCTTATCATTTCCACAATTTGTCTTTTGCCACATTTTCCCGCCATTTTGGTCAGCAATAACCGCCGTTTGCAAGTTCCACTAAATTAGGTTCGACGTTTGAATCAACTGCCGAACTTAATTATTTGGGTCGACCCAAATTGGTATTAGGTTCGGCACATACAAAGTTCGACGTTGCAACCGGGCCTTAGAGGAAGTAACAGGCTTCCCTACGATCCAGATACTTCCCTACGATCCAAAAGTTCTTTGTGCTTATTAACAGCTCGTTATTGCTATTCAGTTTTGCTCATGGTTATGAGCACCTTAGATACCAATAGTAATCCAAATATTCTGTCTCAAATCAAATGGGCAACACGAAGTAGCTCGCTTTCACGGAACTCCTGTATAAGCTTTGACCAACTTAGTAGAGCAAAAACGTGTGAAAATTAGTGCATTGGCCCATCATGTCTCCAAGAAAGCCGCGTAAAAACTGATAAGATGGTCTTGATTGAAATTTATTCTCTGTGGTATTTATCTTGTTTTTATTTCTCGTGATCAAGAACCGCTGGCTCCCTCAAAGACTTGGAGGCGATATGTACAGTGTGGTGTTTAAGTACGAGCAGGGAAATATGAATTCAGTTTAGAATGAAGGTGGGCTGTTATATGGGATGCTTGTCTGGTTTGAAGGTGTTTGTTATGATCATGGTGATGACGAAACGGGTAATAACATTTGTGATGTCAATGATGATGATGATGATGATGATGATGATGATGACGATGGTGATAGTGATGGTGATAACGTGCCGATGATGATCATGACCGTTTCCCGAAAATCATTGTTCCTGTAGGTTGAAATATTCAAATCAAGGGCCAACTCAGCTTTGAGATTTAATTTTCGAGAAATTTTGGTAAAAACTTTAGGAAGCACTTATCCTCTAGCCTTCGTTTTGTTTCGTTAAAAACGTCGCCTGAACTTCGACTGATTTTCGTCGAAGGGTTCTTTTAAAGAAGAACAATCACAGAGAGGTCTGGTATTTCCCCCTTAACATTAAGCAGAACTAAAATACCATTTTCATGTCTCGCATTTCACTTGGCGGGGCAAAGATAAATATCCTTCATATCTGTGAAGTCCAAGGAATCTCAGTACAAAAATATATGGAAATGAAACAAAAATGGTGGGATCTTGAAGAGAATCAATAAAAAAAATAAATGGAATGAGTTTATGAACGGAAGAAGGAATGTTTCCCTCAAGTCCAAAACATCCAATGAATCGAACGAAGTTGTTTAAGGAAAGTATAGAATTGAGAGATTACTATCAGATGTAATATTGAGTTCCGGTTTCACACTGTTCGCAGTTCCGGTCACATGACCGAAGTGTGATGAGTCCGTATAAGTTATTCGCATGCTTGTGTGTATTTGCATATTCTTCTGGTTCTTCGAGTCTGCATAACATGATGTTCTAAAACGTATCGCTTGCCTGGTTTAGTGGTTCATTGCCACGACAACAGATGGACATGAAACAAAAACAATGGACCGCAGACGAAATTCAATAAAGGAATAAATGGAATGGACGTTTCCGTCAAGTCGAAAACATCTAATAAATCCAACGAAGTTGTTTAAGGAAAGTATAGGATTGAGAGATTACTAACAGGTGGACATGAAACAAAAACAGTGGGCTGCAGACGAAATTCAATAAAAGAGTAAATGGAATGGATGTTTCCGTCAAGTCCGAAACATCAAATAAATCCAACGTAGTTATTGAAAAAGTGTTGAATATTAACTTCCAGTTCTAAGTTGAAGTCCTCAGCACAGTTTTTCTTTAGTTTAGATGGATAGTGTGGATTTACTGGATATCAGAGATATTTTGGGTTAAAAAAGAAGAAATCACAAGAAGGAAGAAAAGCCGGCAGGGCCAGCAAAGCAAAATCAGACCCCGTCCTAAACTCAAGGACTGGATCCGCCACCAAATGGACGCACTGAAGATTCCAAAGATAACTTACAGTGTTAAGCCTAAGCCCTCAACTCTTTTTTAAATTTAGGGTGGATAGTATGGATTTTGAGGAATTGTTGGATTAAGAAAAAAATAAAAAATATATTTTAATGACAATGGTTGCAGCAATTTGTGATAATAGTTACTCTACGGAATTTGTAATAACATTATTTTATGATTTTATGGTTAAATTCCCACGTATCAACCTGATATAGTATTTCCAGCCTACCCCCTCGAAGATTTCTTGAGCACTGTTCACAAAGTAAGCTTTGCCTTATGTTTTTGTAGAAAACCGTAATTGCTGTTGCCATGGAAAGAACCGCTGTTCTTAATCCAGGATGGGGAGTACCAGAATCGGAAATCATTATCCGAAGTTTTGTAGCATTTTGGAATTATCAAAGCTGAATACAAGGATTTTGAGATCTTATCGCTTTCATTGCCACGAAAAACGCAGCAGGTACACCATTTACTTGATAAAAAGAGCTTTTAATTAACAATCTTCGAGATGAAGCTTGAGGGGGAAGGTTCTGCCCCGGTTGCTCGAAAGATGGTCAACTCTTGACCCTAATCAATGGTTAAAAATTAACCGAAGGTTAGTTCCGGTTGATCGAAGACCGGTTCTACCTCGTTACCATGCTGAGAGATTCCATGAGATAGCAAGCGCATGCGCCAATCAGTGCAACGTTTGTCGCCGATCAGGTTGGCTTTTTACTGCTGTATACGAGCATTTTTTCCAAAAATACAGCTTTATTCAGCGCTTAGAATGGACAAACCATTGCAATTAACAAGCGCAACT